AACACCATACCTCTTCGTAACATGAATACACACACGCAGACAGACACACATTGCACTGCCTCCCTCCCTTGCTCTAACCCCGTGGACTATGTCTACATTGTTGTAACAGTAATTCCACTCTTTCTCTCAGCTCACATTTAATTAGCTGCACTGGTTATCACAATGTGTGACTTCTGTGTCTTCACAGAGACAGTGGCGTCTGGGAGGGCAGTTGTGAGAGGGGGTTGAGGCACCAGTTTAACATGGCTTATACATGCTGAATAGAAAACACAGGGCTGCATGCTAGCTTTGGGCCAGCATGAGTGGAAATATTGTCTGAGGAGAATACAACAGCTTGTACAGTAACTTGTTGTCATCCTAATCTGTCATTGTACTTGTTTTCACTTGTAAACAAAAGAAGCAAGACTCAACATGGAGCCATTTATGAGGAAAGTGTTTTGGTGGCTTTGCCCGTGGCAATATACACTCTGTTGCTAGTTTACACCGAGGTGAAACTAATAATAATTATACAGCGCTGCAATGAATCCTAACTTCTTGACTGTTAAAATGTTCAGTTTTTGTTGAAACTGTTTCAGAGAGATGCTGATTTAACTAAATGATCATTTTGGAGACAGCAGATTGTGGTGCTGTTGAATTGTATTGCATTATACCGAGAGGTGTTTCTAATATTTTGTCCACACCATTTACATGTGAGGGTACTAAATATTAGAAAAACCTCATTTCATTAGCACCACAGATTACAGCATGAAGGTAGGATTTATTGCAGGGCTGTTGTATGAGGCTGCACTAAAATTACTTTTATTAACTGATTCTGTAACAGACATGATGTGTGTGTTGTGGGGGAACCATGTGACTTGTAGCCCCAGTGGGCTTAGTATTTTTAATTTAATATAATTTACCATTAATTATTTAGCTGTAATTTAATTATTAACACAGACAGTAATTTAATGTCTCCGTCTTCTCTTTAAATGTCTCCGTTTTTACAGTAAGAAATGGACTGTCTTAAAAATTCTTTCTCTTTTTTTTTGTAACCACGAGGATATCGAGGAGGGTTGGTTGTGGGGTGGGAACTGTTTTGTTGTGTATTTTTTATCTGTTCAATACCAGTAAAAAGAGTGTTTAAAAAAGTAATGGGCTGGTGTCTGCAACAGTATTAAATAGGGATGGGAATTGATGAGATTTTATTGATACCAATTCCATTATTGATTCGGGCCGATTTTTTATCGATTCCCTTATTGATTCCTGTTCAGTTTTCTGTGTGCAAGCCTGAAAACAAGTCAGAAAACCTTCTGTTATAGGTAAAAGGAATTACAACCTATTTTAATAATCTTGTGATATTTTGGTCTTTTTCCTTCATTGTATGAGAAAGAAAAATCCTATTCTCTACATCTCGGACACGCTTTTAAAAATCAAAGTGTCTCTCCATACAGGTCTTACATTACGGGACCTGTGAGTTTACTGATAAACATTTTGTTAATTGGGGCTGTAATTGTTACTAGGATATGGGGTGACAATCACACATTTGTGCTCTGGACGGGATCAAAATTACTGGCCAGCACGCATAATATTGCAATCACCATTAGATCCATCTACCCTAGAGAAATAAATCTCATCAGCACTGCAAAAGGATGTTTTCTTTTTGTGTTCAGGTATGTCTGCGTGCACCTACAGTATGAAGCAATGTCAGTGTGCAGTTGATTGATTGGTGGCTGATCCAGGGGTCTGTCGGTGATGCTCTACTGGGTGTGCGAGACCACCTTGGTCCAGCAATCATGATTCACCCTAATCAGCAAATCTCAAGTATTGTTGGATGCGATCAAGCTTCTTGACAACCACCCATATCCCCCTTTGTCACTGCTACTCTGTGTATGTATGTATGTATGTATGTGTGTGTGTGTGCGTGACTGTGAGAGAGTTTTTAATTGTCTGTTTTTAAATGTTAATGTGTATACTTGCCTGCTTTATCAGCCTCTGGCGGGGGAAGGAGAGCTTGTTTACAAGATGTTTTTGTTGGTCTAGTCTGAACCGCTTTGCTCTTATCCTCTCTCTCACCACAGCTGGCTGTTCCATGTCTGCTATGATCATTAAGCTGTGATCATTATATGACTTCTAAAGATACACAGAATATGCATTTTTGTCTCCTTTTAACTCATCATATACAAGTTGGTTTTATACTTTTTTCGTTACAGTTTTGAAATTCATGTTTTAACTTGCACTTAAATCTTATAAATCACAGTGTAAACAAAGCTTTTAATTGGACTCTACTGTTACAGCAGTGGGGGACCATTAAACAAATAGAGTGAAGCTTTAGTAGAGAGGACACCCCTGCACGATTCCAGATTTAAGATTTTTATATTGTAACTAAAGAAGAACACCTTGTCATTATCATGTAAAATGTGCAGTCTGCAGTGCTAGTGTCCTGGAAACACAGACTATGGGTCTACATGTCTTATTTGATGTTGGAGCATATGTGACTGCTGTGACTGATCTCTCGTTTGCTCCTGTAGGTGAAATCGGTGAAGACAGGCTCGGTATTCTGGACCATCGGCTGTTGTCTCTCCTATTTCTACATGGTAAGAAAATAATCCACACACAAACACTGACACAGACACGCTAGAGTTCGTGGTTACCGTTGCCTAAACTTATTGGACCTAATCATCCCTTTTTTAGCTGGGAATTATAATTCAGGATCACACTATCACTTGTTATTCTGCACTGCTAGCTTTCAAATAAACTGAGTGAAAGGTGATATACAATATATCATCAGATATAGAGATAATATTTTTATTCATGGTTTAAGTTGTTTTTTTCAGTTTGAACTTGTATGCATTTTACACAGTTCTTAAAAACCTTTTTCCATTTTTTGTCCTATTATTATTTAGGTAAGAGAAGACACAAATCTATTCAAAGCAAAAATCTCAATCATCCATCATAAGCAAAAAGGGTGGTGATTCTTAAAATGTAAAATGTAGAAAAGCATAAATATTCTGTATTTTTGCGTGCATAACTGTTTTATATACTACGCAAGTTGAACACACTTGCACTAACAGATTCTGTAGTGCTTTGATTACAAGACTGGACATCAGAAACACTGCATACCCATACAGTACTGCAGGAAAGACGGACTTCCTCCCTACTATGAAATTATTATAATGTAACACAACTGCTCCTGAGATGATAGTCTCGGGGCGATTTTCCTCTGTCCACCATAGACATGGCAGTGCATGGAGAAAGTGGAAGAGAAGTTCAGCCAGTGTTGTCTGCATTATTTATGAATTCAGACACAAGCCCATCAGGGGCTTGATGAGATAGATGAGATAAAATGACGATCCAGGCACACTGCCTCAGCGACAGATTGTTTGTGTTTGTGTGTGTGTGTGTGTGTGAGTGTGATCGCCTATGAAAATCTCCAGCTTCTTGCTCATTTCAGGCTTAATCTCTGTGGCCAGCAGTGAGACAGATATCAAATGAAACAGATTGCCGAAATCCAGCTTCATCGATCACACTGGGCTACAGCATCCGGAGGGTGGGGACTGGAGAGAGGAGAGTGATGGAAAGATGAATAGAACAGGAGACAAAACGGAGGAATGAGATAGACAGAGACAAAGGAACAGAGAGAGGTGTGGAAAGATAAGGATAGAGGGGACAGAGAGAGAGAGATGGAGAGAAATACAGAATGATAAGACAGGAGAGAATATATTGTGATGTGTAACTTCTGCACGGTCTTAGTCAGCAGCAATGGGAACATTGAGTTTTCTTTCTTCTTATTACTACTTTCTCTCCTTCACACCCTCTCTCCTCAGTGATATGAAGTTCCTCTGTACTATCTCTGCAGCCCACCAACTG